GACTTGCTTAGATGGGGTTTTGAAAGACTTTGCTGTAGATAATAATTAAGTCAATCAGTCAATCAATACTGTCAGTYAATTCAATCAATCTACAATATCATATTCAATCATTAAAACATCAGTCATTCATGTACTATCCACTTTCCAGTTGGCAAATCAATCAATTCCTCAAGTAAAAATGTGGTCATTCAATCAATCAGCTGTCAATCAATCCATAATGTATATGTACCTCATATATGCTGTTTAGTTGAGAAATCTTCTTTTCATCATCAGGCACCAGGATAGATTTAAAATCACATATCTGCGGATAATGAATCAAAAAGTGGTCTAGTTAACCACTGTACCTCAGAGCCAGGTTGTTCAAAACTCAACTAGTGTTACAGTGCGGCTACTGAAACCGGGGCCACCTAGACAATGTAAAATGATCACAATTTCGATTGAAACAAGGATTAAAAAAGCTGAGAAACGATGATCAGTGATATTGCAAACAACTAAAACTTAAAATGAGATGAGGTTTCCTTAGTTTGAATCACTTTTTTTTTGTTCTAAATAGTTGTGAGATTTTGTATTCTCTAGTGTGCCCCCGGTTTCACTAGCTGCACTGTAATCAAGTGTTAACTCCATAGATGTTTCTTTAAGTTGCCCCAGAATTAGTATTAATAGAGCTTGAACAATTCAGCCCTACATTGTAGAAATTTCCACAAAGTCACGAACCTTGTACAGGTTGCTCCTAGGATCAACGCCAGAAACATGAGGAGTCTCTAAAATGTTRACATCAGAGTCCCTTTCACATCTGCAACAAAATCAATAATGCTGATAAATTATATGTATACTGATTATGCACTGACATTAGACTACACTTTGATACCCGCAGCTCCAAATATCCCTCTAGACACTTCACTGTCATGCATTATATGGCACACCTTCAGATGTTCCTGCATTAACATGCATAGATAGTTATTTGCATTCTCCTTTTTTTCACTTGCCTAAACACACTACTATACATCTCCTGCCAGACACACCCTTAGCAGGAGTACTAGTTATGGCCCTAATAGACACCCTTTTTTACTTTGACGAAGGATGAATTTCAAAAAAACGTCAGCAAGTTGTTTCATCTGCATTTTTCCAATGTTAAAATTTATCGTTTAATTTGCACAACTGAATGCTTCTTTAGAAACACAGATGCAGCTCACACTAGTTTCCACCTATTAGACACTTGCTTGCACCCATTTTCAGACACATCCTTAATAGGAACAATAGGTCCACGGTGTTACCACCTGTAGACACCCCTAATAGACACGCCCATACACCACTTTTTAGACACATCCTTAGCAGGAGCAATAGGTCCACGTTGTTACCACCTGTAGACATCCCTAATAGACACACCCATACACCCCTTTTTAGACACATCCTTAGCAGGAGTCATAAATCTTATTACCCCTCTAGACACACCGTTGATAGACACACCCATGCACCCATTTTTAGACACATCCTTAGTAGGAGCAATAGGTCCACCTTGTTACCCCTCTAGACACCCCTAATAGACACTCCCATACACCCCTTTTTAGACACATCATTAGTAGTAGTAATAAATCTTATTACCCCTCTAGACACACCCTTAATAGACACACCCCTTCCCTTCTTCTAAGCTGCTTGTTGATATTTTTTGAAGATACTTACAGAAGCAACAGTTCTAAAAACTCGTACAACATCAGTCTGTCTTCAGCATGGGTTTCAGTGTGTTTTATCTGAAATAATTCAACGATTTCAGTGAAACGTCACTACTATTTTATAAGATTCCCATCACCTGGATGTACTCACATGTTGCATTAATTTGATTGGTGAAACAGATCTTCCRCATGCCTGGGAAAAAAGAAAGAAAGAAAAAATTCAGAATAGGACAAAAGATAATCTGAGCAATACCTCATTTTGATTGATAATTCACTATTGAAATGACTGCTCGCTAACATACATGTAGCTGGCTTCATAACTCAGTTGTTAGAGCACTGCACCAGCATCACTGAGGTCATGGGTTTTCATGAATTTTTTTGGGGGTGATACATTTATTAATAGCCACTTAGAATATTATTATTTCACTGTGACAATCACAATTCCTTACACATGAATGGTTATTTACAGCAAAGATTGGTGTTAGTTTGCAAAACATTTCCCTTCTTAGACATACTGTAACTTAGAATCTGACTGACCTTGAGAGTCCTCATTAAAACATGCTCATTTATCATAAGYCCCAACATGTCATCATGCTCATATAACTGGAAGGCAACTCTTACTTCCCGTAATTCCTGGAAACTGCAAATTC